GGTTACGTCGTAGTCAACTGAAATTAAATAATTTCGGGATACATTATTATCTACAATATTCTTAGTCGAAATGATAAACGGTTTCGTAACTTACAATTTGTGTTTCTGCGTAGTCGGATCCCTTGATGTTTTATCTTGATGTTTGCGTTTTTATGACCGTTGATGACCAGCTTCGAATGATGTTACAGCATAAATTATTCCTTTTAAATTATAAGTCATATGACCTGATTTTCCCGCCGCGCGTAGTCGAGGCGAATTCGTAATTACGATAATTAATTCTACTTTTTTACTACACGCTCCACTGAACATGCAAATCACTTACCTCTCCTTTCAAACTGCCGTACATTTACAGTAAGTGGTTTGAACCCCGAGGATAACATGTGATAGTGTAGTCTGATCATTCGAGTGAGTGTAGTTCTGAGAAGGACTGTTGTTGGTGGTGGCGACTGCAGGACGTTTCGACAACCTGAGCTGAAGTTCTCATCAGAGTCAAGTGACAGCCAACATTCTGTTTGACTCTGGTGAGAACTTCTGCTCAGGTTGTCGAAACTTCAGTCACCATTACCGACAACAGTCCTTCTCAGGACTACACTCACCCGGACGATCACACTATACTATCACATGCCGTACATTTCCTTGTAATTTCGTGAGGGACATAGACCGCTTTCATAAATGGCTGCTGGGACTCAGATTTCTCTATTACATTAAAATTGTTTCATCTTCACATGCTCACTTTGGAGGTTGGTTGGCCGCATCTTGAGATGCTTTAATGTGACAGCGTGATGCAGTTCCAGTCGAGCCCCACAAAGTGACCCCTACTCACCCATAGAGTCTCCATTAGCTCAGTGGTTAAAGCACCCGACTAGATCACGGAGGGTCGTGAGTTCAACTCCCATCTGGGACTCAGATTTCTCTATTACATTAAAATTGTTTCATCTTCACATGTGGATTAATATTCTTTTGTTTAAATTTAAATTAGCCCTTCTGGCCTCGCTTGAGAAAATGTATTCTTTTGAATTTTTTGTACTGGAGAACAAGGCTAGAAGGGCTAATTTAAATTTAAACAAAAGAATATTAATCTGGCAGCCATTTATGAAAGTGGTCTATATAGTTTCCGATTCCTTAAATACTCCATAGCCGTTAAGTTCGTCTGTCCTGTTATATTCCTGCCCACCAAATGATATATACCATATTTTATAGGGACGTTTTAAGAGAGAATGACCGATCTTTTTTTTGTCTCTTTCCTGTAATTTGAATGAGCATGCTGTCCTCGTAAGTTTTCTTCCAGCGCTCTTCGATGGTCAGGCATCGATTTATGAGGGATTTGGGTTAATTTCGGTATCTGAGCAACTGCGCACCCACCCCTCCCCCCAACCAAACAACAATTGGTTTAAGGAGGGGTAGGTGTACAATTTCTCTGAAACTTACTTTGACCCAGGCTTCCTCTGAGTTGTAGCCATCGACAGATGCTGATATGCACACATTGTAGCATTAATGCTTTACAAATGTTCTTAGATATATCTTTTTTTTTTTGCGTTGATTTAGGCGCGTTATGACATTGACCACGCCCTGGTGCTGGCACAGATGCACCATTTCAAGGCTGGTATCCTGTATCTGTATGAAAAGGCCAAACTGTGAGTTCGGATCAAGGAAATCTTTAACCTCAAACCTCGTCAATTTTTTTTATTTGTGACTGGCATTACGCTTAATGCAGTATTTTTCGCTAGCAGTTCAGTTTTCTCAACTAGCTTTTCCTTAAACATTTATATAGAAGCAGCATAGAAGTACATCCTGTCAGTTTTTATAGCTCTTATTTTGATTTGGGTAGATACCAACAGATTCTTCATTACCACATGGAGCAGAACGAGTACAGTCACGTGATAGACACATGCAAGAAGTATGGGTGAGTCTCGAGCACTGTAGAAAACTTTTGAGAATTTTCCTTGATAGGTGCTTTGTCAGTGGAAACAATACAAAAAGCGGTGAGGTTCAGTCATTCGCTAGACAAGGGCGGGGAAACGTGTATGCACATGGGCGTAAAAACTTGTCACCGATGTTAAGAGCGGGAAAAACTTGTCACCAGCGTTAAAGGTCAAGAGAATTTAGGTCTGGCGCCAAAAGCGCGAAAACACGCTTACACCAAGGGCGAGAAGAGATTCATGTACCAGGAACGGGCACAAAAACTTAAATATCTGGCGCGAAAAGCGTTGTAACGCGCCTAGTCATCAAATAATTTTGTGCCTTGTCTGTGATCTGCTGAGTTGGTGTCGCAGCCAAAAGCAAGGCAACCCAATACTTATTTTTTCTTTTATTTTGTCACTAGGACGTCAGATCCAAGTTTGTGGGTGCAAGCGCTCTCTTACTTCGCCCGACGTGAAACAGACTGTAAGTCCCAAATTATGGAGGTGCTGTCATATATCCTTTTATAATTTTCCCCGGGTTCCATGTATTGCCTTTATTCTTTTGCGCTTCATCTTGCATGATACTGAGCTCGTGCTGTGAAAGCGTTTTTCTCATCATGATTTATTTGCGAATATCATTTTCCGTTTTGGTGTTGTCAGTTGTAGATTGTGTAGATTGCAGTTCTTGTATGCGCGTTGGCATGCGAATACCTCATAACTAGGTGTGTCACTGTTACATAAGATTGATATTTCCTTGACAGTGAATCAAATATCGACCGTGGAAACCTCATGTCTCCTTTACTCGTCTTGCAAAACTTGGCGTACAATTCAACAGCCACCTTGGCAGTGGTGAAGGTAAGAAATAGGTATCACTATGAGGGAAGCAAAATTTTTTGTCTTCATGAATTAGCGCCGCTTTCTTTCCTGTCACGTTATTCGATCTCAGACAAGGGAAAGGAGCAGAGACTTTGTCTTCCCTTCACTTAGCCTTCTTCTTTTTTCCCCAAGTGTTCCCTCCCCTTTCAAATGAAATCTATTTTTCTCAGAAACCTTCCTCCAACTACAAGTATCCACTTCTCTTTTACAGGACTACATCATCCATCGCTTGCAAATGGAAGACGAACTTATCGCAAATGTAAGTTGAAGGATTCACTCTGCTACCTCAATCCTCTCTTGATTTTAACCAATACTATTATTTTCTCTTTAAGAAGGGTTTTGATAATGTATTTCGCGTTGTATAAATCTTTTTATATGCTTTTTCTCTAGGATGAGCGTTATATTCGGCAATATCGTGAGGAAACTGAAAAAATGAGGAATCAGATCAAAGAACTGAAGACAAGGTAGGGATAGACTCTTTGTTTACCTAACACTTTTATTTTATACTAATGTTAGGATGTAAAAGTTTAAAGCAGACTTTATTTGACGTCTCTTAGTCATGCAATATCTTTCACTAGTGCAAAGATATTCCAAGGTGCAAAATGCAGCGTCTGTTCCCGACCTTTGGATTTGCCCGCGGTGCATTTCTTATGTCAGCACTCATTCCACCAGATGTAAGTACAGCATTTGTGGTGCATGCGTTTTTCGCTGGAGTTTGCTTCGCTCAAAGTCATGACCGATATTTCATTGTCTTTATTTTTTGTAGCTGTTTTGAAGGATACGCTGAATCAGACAACGAATGCCCGATTTGTGCTCCGGAAAACAGGTGAGAACGAATTTCAGTTGCAGCGTTAAAAGTGTCTTAAAAGCATTTTGGTTTATAGTTGTTTCTGTAGGAGAATCTCGGAGCTTCCTGAGCCGCTGAGACTTTTATGAAAAATTGCCTTCTGGTTGTTTACCTTGCGCTAAAATCTTCAAGTAGATTTAAATTTTAAAGTAAAAGTAGTGTCCGTTTTCTCGTTTGGGATATCTTCAACCAGAGGTTGCCATCTTGGAATAAATAATCCAAATTTTAAATGATTTATCAGAAGATGTGAAGCGGATGTAGAGGGATGGAAGATAGAAAGATGAATAGCAAATCAGATCTTCGAAGTTGAACGGTTAAATCTGAATTTTCGTTCCGTTTTAGAAAAGTTCTTGACATCATAAGACAACAGGAGCAGGCGAAAGATCTTCATGAACAATTTCATCACCAGGTGAGGACAAAATCTCCCGAATATTTATGACAATCCGAAGATGGATCGTCCATCTTAAAAGCGTTATACTAAGGCATAGTTTTTGTTCATTGCAGCTGGAGAGAGCGGCAGATGGGTTTTCTGTTGTGGCCGAGTATTACGGACGCGGTGTTTTCAATAAGGTTTGTTTTCTGTCTGATTAGACGCATTGCCGATAAGAAAAGAAAAAATAAAAACATTCACTCCATAATTTCCTATTACAGCTTCCATCTTTGTACTTTACATTTTCAGCCATTTGTTTCATTAACTTCATAAAGATAAATGACGAAAAAAATTGTGAGACAGATCTCTTATTCTTTATCATGGTTATCGTCAAAGGCCGTTGCTTAGTAGCACTCCCTTTCATCAGCCATCCGTGTGTGACATTTGAAGTGAGTCTTACACGAAGATAAACCCTTTGATCCCTAAGAATGACTAGCGTCCAGTTTCTGCTCACAATATCCCCCCCCCCCCTACACCTCACAAATTAAGGTCAGGAGAATAAAGCAAGTGACCTCCAACTGAAGTACATCTGGATTGTTAAACAAATTCTCCTTGTCAGCACCTTAGGAAATGTATAGAGAACAGTATGGAGAATATGCATACTGATGTTTGGGTGTGAAGGGCTAACGCCTACTGACATGGAAGTTGAACGCGTAATCCGCTTATCGACAAAAACTCCGGTGATAAGCGCGGCCATCAAACTTTCAAGGCAGTTGAACGCGTAATGCTGTATTGATTAGCTCAGCTATACTTTACCCACGCTCACGATACTCATTTTTTAACATCGGTAATCAAAATGTGCCATCTGTCTCAAATGCAAAATATGTTTTGATTCATTTTTGTTTTTCAAATTAGTATTTAAAATATCAGCCACTGAGCTTTGTCTCACACCTCGTATAATTTGAAAAGTTAAGCCTAATTTTTTAAAGCTATCATTTCCTTAAAAAAAAAAAAAACAAAAAACAAAAGAACTGTTTTGCCGCATCTGCGGAGGAGTGAACACTCAGATTATGAGGTGGTGGTTTTTAGGATTAGACGAACCTTTGCGTTGAATATAGACAAGATAATGTTTCTTCACGAGCGTTACCGCTTCATTATTAGCAATCCATCTTAATCTTACCGAAATAATATTTTTAGTTTCCACCACGGAAAAGTAATTTTACATTGTTAATTATGGAACAGCACAAATGAGCTGCAAATGGCTTCGAATGGGATTGCCCACAAATGAGATTTAACCAAAAGCCAGACATGCCAAGCAGGAAATCTTTGTAAAATCCTCAGAGA